CCTCCGCAGTCCCCTGCGCCGGGCCGTGGGGCGATGGGGACCTGTCCCCGCACCCGGGTGTCCTTCTCCCACCTGGCAGCCTCTTGCTCAAGGTCACTGCAGTAATTCCATATGAGCTGCCGGGTGCTGCGGCCTTATCTCCCGCACAGCTTCTGTTTCACTCCCTTTATATTCTTGGGGGGGGGGGGGTGGATATTGCGTTTGATAAACCCCGCTGCCTTTAACACCCCTGGCAGCGCTCCAGCCAGGGCCACGCTCCTCTCACCCCTGTCCCAGCCCCTGCTTCCCATCTCTTCCCGCGCAGACTTCCCAGGCCATCTCGTGGTGGGCAAAGTCCAGCTGGGATCGGGTCTCCGGCCGGGACGACCGGTGTCGGAACCCGTCGCGCTGGACCTGGGGTTTGTCCTGCCGGGAGACCTGTTGGAGGCAGGAGGGACCGTCTTGCCCCAGAGGAGGAGTGCCGGTGTTTGCCGGTGTTTGCCGGTGTTTGCCAGGCCGGTGGCACCTTTGGAAAACGTGACTTTATCTCCTGCCTGGGAGTTGGTGGAAAGCGGAGTGTGGAACCAAGTCCCGGAGGACTTTGCCGTGTCGCTGCCCTTGTTCCGAAGGCGTTTCCGCGCCAGGCGGGCGACGGCGTTGCTGTCCGCACCGTGGGCTCTCCCGGCGGGATCCAAAGGCCGCACTGACGGGCTGCATTGCGAAAGGGAATCGATACAGGGAAGCGTCTTGAGAGAAACTCTGGCCACCTGCGAGTGTGGCTGTGCCAGGATCCATTCTGACTCACGGGGGACGTTGCTGGCGGAGCCGTGGGGCGCCCGGCCGCTGGCCCGCGGGAGCAAGGAGGTGCTGGACTGGTCGCACGGGTTGTGTGGGAGCGTGGCGGGCACCGTGCGTGGCTTGTGGGCACGTCAGCACGGCCCCGGCCCAGCTCCGGTGGGAGGGAGCGGTGTCCCGAGCCGGGAGAGGGCTGGACACGGCACGGCGGCTGCGGTCCAGGGAGGTACCGGCACCTGAGGTGGGTGGTGGGATGGACACCGGTAATCGCTGTCTGCAGGCACTGCTGCACGGGGGAGATACTCCTCTGCCCGTAAGCTTTATCTCTTGGACAGGGAAAAAATTGCCAGTGAGTTTTGCTGCAGCCACGGTGGGAGCTCTGGGAGCAGCCCAGCTCCCCAGCCCTGCGGTGCGGCCCTGCTGAGGGCAAGGCAGCTCCAGGCAGCCTTTGCCTCCTGGCTTTTCTTGGCCCTCTGAGAAAATGAGGGTAAATGATGTCTTCCTACTGTGTAGGGAGAAGGTGAGGATTAGGACTAGCACCGAGTAGAGGATAGAGTTGTGATGTGCTCACCTGAAGACGGGTCCAGACTGACCCACGTCATTTTGCACCTGCATCGGGTGCAGCGCATCCCAAGGACGGGCACTGTCCGCCGGGGATGTTCCAGGGCAGCTCCCGGCTGCGCCAGCCCCTGCCACCCCGGCCCTAGGTCTGTGGGCAGAGAAGGATCAGGCAGCTCGGGGTTTTTGGGAGAGGGGGGGGTTGCGTTATCCATTCTGCTCGCTGACCTGGCGCTGGAAGTTAGCACCCCAAATTCCCCACCCCGCAGCAGCACGCGGTTCTGTACCTGCAGCCTCTCGTGGAAGCCAAATTACTGAGTTTGCTGGGAAAACCCACCCGAGTGGCTGCCAGCACGGGTAAGTCGTGGCAGGCTCTGACTCACGACGGGATTTTGGTTTTGCACAACGCATGCTTGGTGGCACTGAGAACCTTGGGGCGACGGCTGAAGCGAGCGGGGCGGCGTGCAGCTGCAGATAGAGCACCTGGGGGTACAGGGGAGCCCCTGGTTGGCACACGTCCTGAGAGGCCTGAAACCAGCTTTGCCAGGATGGTGGGGCTGAGGCAGCTGGGATCTGGAGGAGGGAGCTGCCATTTTCAGGTAGTTACTTTTAGAAGCAGAAGTGCAGGGTAAAATCTCCTCCAAATGTTGCTGAATCCAGAGCCAAATCTCTTGGCAGCTCTGCAGTGCTAGGTATCGGCTTGCTATGAGATTTTTTTTCCCCTTGAGCATCCTGCATCCTGCATGTCTTTGGGTTAGCGAGTAGTGGCAGCCCAGCAAGGTGCACCTGATGCCCCAATGATGGGTGCTTCCACCTTGAGAAGTGTCCTGGGTGCCAGCCGAGGGCTCTGGGGACGGGTCTCGGTGGCTGGGGTGATACTGAGGTCTCCGTGTCCCTGTTCCCCTCTGCAGGCGCCGGTGAGGCTGCAGCCGTGACTGCTCATCCCTTCTTCACCATTCCTGCCCGCCGCCGGTGGGTCTTCGGCACCGCACAGCCATGACGACCTCGGCACTGCGCCGGCAGGTGAAAAACATCGTGCACAACTACTCGGAGGCAGAGATCAAGGTGCGGGAGGCCACCTCCAATGATCCCTGGGGACCCCCCAGCTCCTTGATGTCAGAGATCGCCGACCTCACCTTCAACACGGTGGCCTTCGCCGAGGTCATGGGCATGATATGGCGACGGCTGAACGACAGCGGCAAGAACTGGCGTCACGTCTACAAGGCCCTCACCCTCTTGGACTACCTCATCAAAACCGGCTCCGAGAAGGTGACCCACCAGTGCCGGGAGAACCTCTACACCATCCAGACACTGAAGGACTTCCAGTATGTGGACCGCGATGGCAAGGACCAGGGCATCAACATCCGAGAGAAGGTGAAGCAGGTGATGGCGCTGCTGAAGGACGAGGAGCGGCTGAAGCAGGAGCGGGCGCACGCTCTGCAGACCAAGGAGCGCATGGCCCTTGAGGGCATGGGCAGCGGCAGCCACCAGGTCTCCTACGGCCGCCGTGCATCGCCCTACGGTGACGACTACGGGCGGGCGCGGGGCTCACCCTCCTCCTTTAACTGTGAGTGATGCTGGCAGCTCGCTTGGGCTCACTCGGGCTCGCTGTGGGCTGGAGGCAGGAGTTGCATTTGGTTTGCACCTACCTGATGCCCAGCGCTCCTCTCCGCCTTTTGGGGGGGTGGTGGTGAAGCCCGTCTCTGTCCCGCGGGCAGAGGTTTGGCTGGGCCAGCGGTGAACCCCAAGAGTGGTGGCAGCTGGCGGTGCCTCAAGCCTTAAACCCACAGCTTGTTCGTGGTAGGGAGCTCTAACGTGGGGCTACGTCCCCTGGGGAAGCCACGCTGTGGAGCTGCGGGCATTGGAATGGGGGCCTGGACGAGGCTGCTGATATGCTCCGCAAAATACCCTAGTCCTGATGCCACCCCTTCCCCTTTTCAACCAGCATCATCCTCATCCCCACGGTTTGCCTCCGACCTGGAGCAAGCGAGGCCCCAGACGACGGGCGAGGAGGAGCTGCAGCTGCAGCTTGCGCTGGCCATGAGTCGGGAAGAAGCAGAGAAGGTACGGGTGGCTCTGCCTGCCCCAGGGCACGCGAGGCCGGGCATCTCCCTGCACCTTGCCTTGTCTGTAGGCATGGTGGGTCATTTCCCTGGGAGGAGGGAGGATTCTGGGGGCTGCCCAAGGCTGGTGCATACACCTGCAACTGCACCAGGCTGCTCGCGCTGTGCCCGGTATCCAAAATCACCAGCAGGCAGATGGAGGCGCGGGCTGTCCCTGCTCCCCGTCCTTGTACCAGCGGGGACAGCACCAGGCTGGGACCCATCCAGCCTCCCAGACCTCAGGGTGAACTTGCGGGGGGTCTTGATTCATCGCGACCCCCCGCCAAACTTGACTGCCCTCTTCCACTGAGGGCTTCTGGTCGAGCTGCCCCATTTCTCTTGCCTTCCTGCGGAGGTTTTAGGAGACGATGCCTTGCCCAGCGCTGCGGTTTGTGTGGTGGGTGGGGGGCTGGCAGTGTCCCTAGGACTGTGCACCAGGCTGGGGGCTCAGTGGGGCTGGGTGCTCCCTCCCACTGGCTGGTCCTTTCAAACCAGTCTAGAAGGAGCTCTGGAAAACCACACCAGGAGGAGCTGAGCAGGGATGCAGGCAGCAAGCGAGCTGCTGTCCCCAACCATGAAACCTCCCCCAGGGTTGTCTCCTCTCCTATCGGCTGGCCCCTTTTCCACCAGGGACGGCTTATTTGCACACCAGCTGAGATTGCCACTGGCTGGCACAGCCTGCGTGGAGCACGTGGGTACGGCTGGACACACAAAGTCAGAGGGACGTGGTGACGGAGGGGCTGTGTGCCCGGGCCGGCGGGTGTCCCCCCTGGGGCTGGCACCGAGCACTGCGAGCTCAGTCCTGCTGGGGCAGGGGACATGCTTTGGAGACGGTGCTTGCTGCTGCCCGTCTTCCCTGCCTGATGGAGGCTCTTTTGGAGATGGAGCAGAGCGTATATCCCTATTTTTGTCCTGGAATTGGAGTATTTATAGCTTCCACAGGCTGCTGCGATGAGCACTGTAGGAACATGCTCTTGAAAGTGTTGCCTGTTGGAATCCATCTGGGCTGCGCATACGTGTGCATGCTCACACATGCTTGTACAGGGGTGCACACATGCACACCCCCACTGGGGTCCCCATTCCCAGTCCCAGCTGGTCCCACGCTGCTGGACAAGCATCATGGGGTGGTGATCAGGGCTGCCCTGGCAGTATGGGGACAGCCTCTCCCCAAAAGCTGCCTCAGATCTGGGTGCTTTTCCCCCAGCAGAGCAGGGCCAGGCAGGATTCCCGCACCGAGGCCAGTCGGCATCACCAACCCTCCTCCCCAGCAAGCTGCCGGGGCAAGGGGACGCCTAATCAATCCCCTCTCCTCCGCCAACTGCATCGGAGTCCCCAAAAACCTCCTGGGGGAGATGCTGGATGCCTAATTTAGGGTTGTCCTAGTCTAGATGCAGAGGCAGGTGATGGGGTAGGGGAAGGAGCTGGGGTAGAGGCCGCAGGGGAGCCTGAGCGGGAGCTGGTTCGAGAGTGTAGGGGCAACGGGCTGGGGGTCCACAGCCAAAGCCGGACGGATGGGCACAGAGATGCTGTGCAGGCAGGTGAGGGTCTGCAGGAGAGGTGGTGGTGAGGACAGGGACCTCCAAGCAGTCCTGCGAGCTGAGGGCAAGCTGAAATGTCACCCCATTTCCTCTGTTGGCAGAAGCCACTTCCTCCAATTTCCAGTACAGATGAAGAAAGGCAATTGCAGCTAGCGCTCGCGCTGAGCAAAGAGGAGCACGAGAAGGTACCTGTGCCCTGCAGCCCCGGGTGCTCCTCTTTCCTTACACTTGGGCTTCTCTCTGGGGCGCTGGAGCCCGAAATGCCACCTTGCTCCGCCACCTGCTTTGCTTTCGCTGCTCTGGGCTGTCTGCTGAGCGCTCTCCCAGCGGGCTCAGCCCCAGAGGAGCCATCTGCTCGGATGCTGGGACTTTTCGGGGATGCGGTGGCAGCTCCTGTGCTCAGTCTGTCTCCTGGAGAAGGTGCTGGCTGCAGGGTTGCTGAGTTCATGGACCCCGTCCCTTGTCCCTGCAGGAGGTGAGGACTTGGCAAGGGGAGAATTCCCTGCTGCAGAGAGCCTCGGAGGAGACTACCCAGGGCAAGGAGGAAGAGGAGGAAGAAGATAAGATGAAGAAAAGCCAGGTACAGCACTGGGGGCATGGATGGCCACACAGCCAGCCACAAAGCCAGCCTTGGGCTCCGGGGCGATCCCGCAGGTCTGCCCTGGGCTTCCCTCACCTCTTTATTCCTTTTCTGTTTGCAGTCCTCTATCCTGGAGCTGGCAGATATATTCGGGCCGGCGCCAGCCCCCTCCAGCCACACGTCTGCTGACCCGTGGGATATGCCAGGTGGGGGCAACTCACAGGCTGCCAAAGCTTGGGACATTGGCAGAAACCTCTCCCTTGCCTCTCCCTCCCCAGTCCCCAGGAGCTCAACAGTAAGGACCTCTTGCTTCTCCTCCCTCCACTGCCCAGTCTGTTACATGCCTGGGTGGTGCTGCTGGAAGCTGTGGTCCCCCGGGCACATCCCTGCCGCTCAGCATCACTCTGTGCCCTGCACCGTTCTGCTCTTCCACAGCTTCCCTTCTTCTTTCAGATATGAAGCCCAAAGCGGAGCCGGCAGCCTCTGCCTGGTCCGGTGCGACTGACCCCTGGGTGCCGGTCCCAGCTGCTGGAGGGGAGCCCCTCTCCCAGGCGAGCGCCTCGTCCCAGCAAACCTCTGCCGGGCCCTGGGATTTCCCCCGTGGCACCACTGCAGCCTCTGACCCTTGGGGGAAGGCACCCTTGTCTTCTGGCTTCCCTGCTGCGGACCCCTGGGGGACAGCATCGCCCCCCACCCAGGTCTCTGGTTCTACACCAGCTGCCGATCCTTGGGCCGCTGTGGCCGAGCAACCTCCTAACCCTGGTAAGAGGCTCAATGATGGGCGTTTTGGCTTTGCTGGGGATGGCGGGCTGCGTTGGCCATCACTGCCCTCCCGCAAGTGGGTATCCTGGGGTGCTCCCCCTTCCTCCCACAGCCAGCTCTGCAAACACCCCCCCGTGCTGCTCTTCTGCCCTGCAGCGGGACCTCCGCTCGCCCCTCGGCATCCTGAAAACTTCAAGGAACTTTTAGGCTTTATCTCTGCACAGAATAGGCTGCTTTAATTAACATGGCACAGTTAACAGAGCCCTCCCGTGGGAGCAGATCGCAGCCACCGCACCGGTCCAGCAGCAGGGCGATGGTGTGTCCCCCCCCCCGCTGATACCTGTCTGTCTGCTCACCCCAAACCAGCCCTGCGTGCCCTGCCAGGACGGACGGTTGCTGCTCGCAGATGCCACGTTGCAGATGGGGAAACGGCTGTAGGAGTAGCCTGTGTTTCAGAGCTCAGTGCCGCTCTCGGTTCCTCCTCGGTGCTTCCTTTGGCCCCGCGGAGATACCGTGTGTTCCGCCCTCAGTTTTCGTCCCTGGGGAGGAGAGCAGAATCCGGCCTGGGGGCCAGTGCTGGTTGTTAAAGCTTTCCTGCAGACCTGTCCCCTCTGCCTGTCCCCGCTGGGGCTGGCAACTGCAGGGGGATGGCTGCGAGCGGTGTAGGGGCTGCCTCGGTCTGCAATGACCCCCAATGGTCTGGCTCATCTTAGCCCTGCTGCCCCGGGCCGGTGCACGTTCCCGACCCCCAGCCCCGTGCCCCCCCACCGCACGCCCTCTTCTCTGTCTCCTTGCAGGCAGCCGCCCCTGCCTCTCTCCTGTCTGTACATCTCCTGCCTCTCACCTCCCCGCTTGCTCCCCTCCTTGAGTCTCACCTCTTCCCCCCAGCTCCAGGGGGGGACGCTTTCGACCTGTTTGCAAAGCCGCCCGAGCCAGCCGAGCCGCCGGAGCAAGAGCCCTCTCAGCCACCCTCCTCGGCCAAGTCCAACAGCCCCGTCGGTAAGAGCCGGGGGAGCGGGCAGGGGCCGATTTGGGCAGGTGGGGACAGGGACCTGTCCCTGCCCATCGCAGAGAGGCAGCTCCAGGGCTGGCCAGGCTGTGCGTGGCTGCTTGCTGGCGTGGCCAAAGCATGTTCCCACCTGCAACCACGCGTGCCGTGGGCTTGGGCTGCCCCGTAGCCGAGGGGGCAGCTCCAGGCCCTGCGTGTCACCCATTTCCCCGACCCCGTCGCCTCCCGCGGCGGCTCGGGGGGAGCTCGGGCACGCCACACCGCAGCCTCAGCCCCACCGCACCGAGCTGTGAACTGGGACGAGACGTGCCATTAGCTGCCCTGTGCGGTGACAGGGGGATGCCGTCACCCTCAGTTTCTCACCGCTGGCTCACGCGACTTGTCTTCCCCCCCCCCCAACCCCAGAGCTGGACCCCTTCGGCGACCTGTTCCCCAGCACCAGGCAGGATGGGACGAAGAGCTTCGACCTCGCCAACCTGGCCGACTCCCTGCCCGAATCCGGCAAGGAGCGGAAGGACTGTAAAACCCCCGAGGCCTTCCTCGGCCCCGCCGCCTCCTCCTTGGTCAACCTGGACTCCCTGGTCGCGCCCGCGCCGGCCTCCAAGACGCGCAACCCCTTTCTCTCGGGTAGGTGCCAGTGCTGTGGTGCGGGCTGCCGGCCGGGGGCTTCCCTGGGCTGGATGGAGGGGTGTTTGGGGGAGGAAGAGGAGGAGGACGGGGACGGGACGGGACGGGACGTGGCTGCCCTG